GGTCACATTTGTGATGCTGGTCAATTTGGTGCAAACAAAACCAGAAAAATCGTTTCCATAATCTACCGGCTATTTGGTTTCTACTTCAAGACCTTCTAGAATTACTGCAACCCTTTGATTTATTAAGGGTTTCTACTTCAAGACCTTTAGAATTACTGCACCTTGATTTATTAGGACATATTACTCCTTCTAGTCTTGGAGGTAAATCTTATGCACTTGTTATTATTGATGATTACTCTAGATTCACCTAGACACTCTTTCTTAGAAATAAGGATGAGTCATATGACATGTTTGTTCATCTTTGCAAGGCATTTAGAGTGACCATGGAAGAGAATTTGAAAATCAGAAATTCGATGCTTTTTGCAAAGAATCATGAATCTTTTATAACTTATCAACACCTAGAACACCCCAGCAGAATGGAGTAGTGGAACGCAAGAATAGAACACTTCAGGAGATGGCTAGGGCCATGCTGAGTGATTTTAAGTTACCAAAGTATTTCTGAGCAAGAGCCGTTAACACTGCCTATTATATTCTAAATAGGACTTTGGAAAGATCTAAACTAAAAAAGACTCCATATGAGCTATACAAAGGTAAAAAACCAAATATCGGTTATTTTCACATTTTTGGGTGTAAATGTTTTATTCCAGATACCAAGAAAATCACCTTGCTAAATTTGATGCAAAATCTTATGAAGGATTTTTTCTAGGATATTCTAGTAATATTAAAACATATAGGGTGTTTAATAAGAAAACTCTACTTGTAGAAGAATCTATCCATATTGTTTTTGATGAATCTGATTCTACTTCTAAAATTTTACAAAATGACGATGTTGTAGATTTCAATCAAGAAAAGCAAAATGAACAGTTAGAACAACTAGAACAGCCAGAGAATGAGCAAAATGTTGATAATCAGGCTGAACCAGAAGATGAACATGAAGATCAGAATGTAACTGAAAGTCAAATGCCAGAAACAGAAAATAGAGCTTCTAATTTACCAAAAGAGTGGTGATTCCACAAGTATCATCGTCAAAAGGACATCACTGACAACCCTTCAGAAAGGATGATGACTAGAGCTCAACTTAAGAGATATTTTAGTAATGTTGCTTTCATTTCTCAATTAGAACCTAAAAATTTAGAAGAACACTGGGACAAACCTCAGAAAGTGATTGATTGACTAGGAGCTCAACTTAAGAGATATTTTTATTAGAAAGGATGATGACTAGAGCTCAACTTAAGAGATATTTTAGTAATGTTGCTTTCATTTCTCAATTAGAACCTAAAAATTTAGAAGATGCTCGAAATGATGAAAGTTGGATTCTTACTATACAAGAAGAATTGAATCAGTTTGAGATAAATCAAGTTTGGAAACTTGTTTCTAAACCTAAAAACCATTTTCTTATTGGAACAAAATGGGTGTTTAGTAATTAGCTTGATGAACATGGTAATGTTGGGAGAAACAAAGCAAGGTTAGTGGTTCAAGGTTGCAACCAAGAATAGGGCATTGATTTTGATGAGACCTTTGCTCCAATTGCTAGACTTGAGGCCATTAGAATGCTTTGTGCATTTGCATGTTTTAAAAACTTCATGTTGTATCTTCATGTTGTATCAAATGGATGTGAAAAATGCTTTTCCAAATGGTTGTCTAAATAAAAAAGTGTATGTAGAACAATCACTCGATTTTGAAGTTTTTGCTAAACCAAACCATGTTTACAAACTTACTAAAACACTTTATGATTTAAAACAAGCTCCTAGAGCTTGGTATGAAAGATTAAGTAAGTTTTTGTTAGAAAATGGTTTTTCTAGAGGAAAGGTGGATACTACACTATTTATTATTTATTACAACAAGCAGACCTTGAATATTCTTAAATTGTGCAAATCCTTATGTTGATGACATAATCTTTGGTGGGTTCTACTAAGTGCCTTCTTTTTAAGGAATTTTTAAATATTATGCAAGGTGTGAGTTTGACATGGTATGATTGGGAGAATAAACTTTCTTCCTTGGACTTCTCAAAAACTTCTTCCTTGGACTTCAAATCAAATAATGTGATAATGAAATTTTCATAAACCAAGGCAAGCACACTTGAGAACTGTTAAAAAGGTTCAAAATAGAGAATGCCAAGGTATGTAGCACACCAATGAGCCCATCCTCAAAATTAGAAAAAGATGAAAATGTAAAGGATGTGGATATTAAGCTGTCTAGAAGTATGATTCGTTCTTTGCTATATCAACGTCTTTTGTAACGGGATCTTCACCCCTCTTATAAAAACGTTTTTCTTTGGAAAGCTGTGGTGATTTTTGCAAGAGTAAGAGTCCATTGATTAAAAGTTTCAGATCTTTCAAAGCTCTCTCTTCAACCCCCTTTATTTCTTTTCATCTATTTGCTACAAGAGATATTTTTCAAAGAGAAAAGAAAATTTGGTAACAACATTTTTTGAAGAACAGTTTTGAACTTTATTTCTATTTTCAAAATATGTTTTCTATTCTTCTTGTGCTTATAATTGTGTTTCTCTCTATCTATATAGATTTTTGTAATCTGTTTGTAGACTAGAGATTTTTTGAACGAAAAACTTTTATGCAATAGCTTAGGTGAAAAGCTATGGTGTAATAAGTTATCAAGCGACCTTATCCTTGTGTGAGATTCTAATGTCTTGATGTGAGTTTCTATTCTCTACAAAGACAGAAAGGGTTGAGGTTGACTAGAACCTTTGGAAATCTAGTGGGATAAATGTTAGATCTAGGTGTTGATCTATTTCTTTGTAAAGTTGGTTTGTCTATTACACTTGAAAGGAGATAATATAATAGAGGATCTCAAGATGAGTCTTGGGGAGTGAATGTAGGCGAGTTAGTGCCGAACCACTATAAATCTCTATGTTTATCTTCTTTTATTTTCTGAAGCCGAACCACTATAAATCTCTATGTTTATCTTCTTTTATTTTCTGAAGTGTTGTTTGATTATATTTTGTCTACACAATTGTTAATCTTTTCAGAAATGCTAAGTTGTTAATGAGTTTCTGCTGCTAAATGTGAATAAGCTTTATCTCTGTGGAACATTAGAACTCTGAATTTCTTTATTATGATTATAACAAGTTCTAATATATCCTTTTATATCATAAGGTTAATCAATCAATATTCAAGATAATCTAGCCATGAGATATTTATTAGCTTAATGCGTACCACAAATAGTTGATTTAATGGTTTATACCTATCCCTGAAGGAGGACTAACCTATAATATCTAGAGATAAAGAACAACTCGTGTGATAAGAAGAGAGAACCCAAGATATCAAAAAAGAAGACGAAGTCCGATAACCAGAAGACGTAGCAATGCAGACCCAACATTAGAAAGCAAAAAAGTGGCGGGCCCACCAGAAATTCCCATCCAAAATCGAACCAAAGATGAAATTCCAAACCGAGATCGGCAGTTGGATGTGATGGTCGAAGAGAGAACCTTTTGGGAATTGAATATCCCAAATCCAGATGGCGAACAACCAGCTGTAGTGAGACCGCAGTACCTACAAACAATTTTGAAATCAAGCCATCTTTGATTTTTATGGTGCAATAGTCACAATTTGCTAGGCTACCAGATGAAGATCCCGATGTTCACATTACAATATTCTTGGAGATTTGTGACACTCTGAAAATAAATGGTGCATCAGATGGAGCAATTCAACTGAGGCTATTTCCATTTTCACCCTTGGATAGAGCGAAGCTTTGGTTACATTCTATGCCTGCAGGATCATTCATCACATATGATGAATTGACTCAAGCTTTTTTGTAAAAACATTTCCCACCTAGCAAGACTATAAGGCTAAGGAATGAAATATCCAATTTTCGGATGGAGGACGAAACTTTATACGAAGCTTTGGAAATATTCAAAGATCTCCAATGAAAATGCCGGCACCATGTATTTGAAAAGTCAGCTTTGGTTCAACAATTTTATGATGGAGCCACACCAACCACCCGAAGTGCCTTAGATGCCACAGCAGCCAGATCATTTTTGAAAAAGCAAATTTCAGAAGCATATAGCTTGTTGGAAGAAATGGTAGCTAGCAGCTATAGATGGAATGAGGAAAGACGTGCACCTAGGAAAGTAGCAGGAGTCTTGGATGTGGATGGATTAACACTCTTATCAGCATGCTTTGGCCAATAAGTTTGACAAGTTCTATGTAAATGAAGTAGCAATGCCGCAGATAGGATGTGAAGCCTGTGGAAATTTTGATCAAGCAAATGGAGAGTGTCAATTTGGGATGACTGAATGTACAGTGGAGTAAAACAATTATGTTCACAATAATTTCCAATCAAGGCCATTGTCTAATACCTTTTCACAAGAGTGGAAGAATCACCCCAAATTTTCTTGGTCAAACCAGCAAAACCAAACTTTTAGACAAAATTCAGCCCTTAACCAAAGACCACCACCACCTGGATACCAGAAACAGAATCCACCACAATTCCAACAATCTTACCAAAATCCACCATTGAACCTTGAAGCCTTGCTCCAAAGTTTTATGCAAACCTAAAAGGAAACAAATGATTATCACAATCAAAGCATTAAACAACTGTCCGATAAGGTGGATGAGCTAATTGCTCACCAGAAGATAATGAATAATCTAATTGTATAACTAGCTAGCTCCTCTAATTCCAGAGCTTATGGAAAACTTCACAGTGAACCAGTTCCTAATCCAAAAGAGCAAATCAATGTAGTAGCTCTAAGGAGCAGTAGAATTTTGGAAGATCCAAACCTGAGACCATAAAAGGAGAAGCAAGTGGATAAAGAAGTGATAGACCTAGAGGAAGAATCTGAGCCAATATTGGAAGACAAAAAGTAGGAAGAATTGAAAAGACTCAAGGAGGAGGATATTCAAAAAAGGATGAAAGCCTTTGAACCACCACTTCCTTTTCCTCAAAGATTAAGAAAAGCACAATTAGACAAGCAGTTCGGAAGATTTTTAGACATGCTAAAGCAGATATCTGTTAATATGCCCTTCACAGAAGTTATATCTTAGATGCCATGTTATGCAAAATTTTTAAAAGAGATATTGACGAAGAAGAAGAAGTCTGAAGCCTATGAAACAGTGGCTCTGACTGAGGATTGCAGTGCACTAATCCAAAATAAGCTACCTCCCAAACTTAAGGACCTTAGAAGTTTCTCCATTCCTTGTGAGGTTGGAGCTATGAATATCAATAAGGCGCTCTGTGATCTTGGAGCCAATGTTAATTTGATGTTGCATTTTGTCTTCAACAAGATGGATGTAGGGGAACTCAAGCCAACTCAAGTGATCTTACAACTAGCAGACAGGTCCATTAAGTATGCCACTGGGATAGTAGAAGATGTACCAGTGGAGGTTGGAAAATTCTACATTTAAGTTGATTTTGTGGTACTGGAGATGGATGAAGATGCTCACATACCCATCATTCTTGGCTGACCCTTTTTGGCCACTACAGGAGCACTCATTGATGTGAAAGAAGGAAAGCTCACTTTGAAGATTGGTGACGAAGTAGTATTGTAACACCCACCGGCCAATCCCGGAGAACCAGACGGCGGATGCCACAATCGGTGCCGGAGCACCGTCTTATGTTACTTATTAAAGCTAGATCACGGTGCGGTGCAACCGTTTCTATCTATGTTACTTTATTAGAGCTAGATCACCAAATTAGGAAGTGGTTAGATTTCATAAAGGAGGAAGTAATTAACATTGTTTTTTTAAAAACAAAATATTGAAGGAATTCCTATGAAAAATTATCGCAAGGGTTTCCCCTAAGAAATTACCTTTGCCACACAAAGAATAATATACACACTTCCGCCAATTTTCTCCTAAACCCCAAACTCCAATCAAATATTACTCACAACATACACAAGCACTTCTAAATACTTCCATTCAATCATAACTTCATTATATTCTAAACACATTCTTTTCAATGAATATATATCATCGATACACCAAAAATCTTTAATAAGATGTTATTTTCCTTAAATATAATAACTCTTATACATTATAAACTTATTACTATACAAACCTTTAACACACTATTTTTATATATGCCAAAAAATCACCATACAAATATTCCTAACCCTTAAAATGTGATATCTACTCTTGATGCTTACTCATCTCGTTTGCACGAACACCCTCCGGCTCCTACCTGCGCGCTGCTCCTAACCTGCGCGTGATAAAAATCAACGCGCTGAGTGGAAGACTCAATGGTGCTAAATAACCAACAATTAAAATACCAAGAATAGCCAAGGCTAGTCTCGCAAGTGCTTTAAATTACTCAAGTATATAGATACCGAAATCGCATTAATTTAATTAAAACACTGTGAAAGCAATAAGACGATTATAAATACAAATCTATCTTCATTCTTTTATTAGCAAAAATAAATTTCATTCTTTAGTTAAGGCTCGTACCCATGCAGAATGAACATAAGCAGATTTGATCGTGGCCTATGTTAGCGCCACCCCCATCACACAATCGTGGCCTATGAAAGCGTCACCCCCATCACACACAATCGTGGCCTATGAAAGCGCCCCCCCATCACACAATTAAGCGTGTCCGCCTATTTATAAGGGCAGATAACCCTAGCATATGATCATAACTTCACATAACAAACTCAATCTCATCATACTACATTTCAATCATGCATAATAGAGCCCAAATCAAAATCATTCTTTCACAAAGGACTTTATTACTTACTCAAAATTTTTAATCAAAACACTTCATTACTTAATACCCATCATTTCAAAATTTCTCAACTTACTCAAAATTCTTACTCAAAACACTATAGATATATTATATTAATATAGTATTAAAATAATAATCAAGAACTTTTCCAGCTGTTATAAACTTGACTTTGCTGAGGTTTTTAAAACATAACTTGGAGTTTATTGGGACTCCAAATTGAACTGAAATCGATTTCATTAGAAAGATAAGACAAATCAGGTCTACAAATGTTTAAGAAGGGATCACAGCCCTTGTCATAGGTAATATAAGCAAACAAAGCTGGAACACAGACCACAGAATCAGACCCTGATTTAGCAGAACCAAAGTCCAATGTTTATTGAATTCCTACTTAAACCAAACACTCAAATTAACCAATCCAGACAGAGAAGTTAATCAGCATTAGGGACAACTTTTAATGAAGGAATTAGAACTATCTTGTCGATATGTTGGTCAAATTCGGGCACTCCAATTTAGTGATGCATGTGGCCCATCACAATAGAGTCAGTTTGGGTGTTTTTCAGCCATAAGTTGAGCTACTTGTATCTCCAAATTGACACAAGAGGGATGGGTTGGGAAGAAGCTAGACGTAGAGCTACACTTTTAATTTGAAGACCATAAGACATTTAGGCTTTCATTTGAGTGGCTCAAAATGGGACAATCATTTCGGATATTATACAGGTAAGACACCATAACCAGAACCAGCTTTTTGGTATTTAAATCATCAGTGAGCTAATGTATTGGAATTAGAATTAAGAATATGTTTGGAAGAAAGGCTGAGAAATAGAGTTACACTTTATGAAAGAGTCAGAAATTAGATGGGAGTGTAAAGGGGTCGAAAATGTTCCAATCCACTTTTCAGAACTATCTAACATTAAAAGTCATCAATTTAACCAAAATACAAGAAGTTCCCAAATACACTTCAAAAACCTAACCGACTAGTAAAACAACTTAAAACAAGTGATGGGTTTATTATTTGTGCGATAACCTATGAAAATGTGACTATTTTAGTCATATAATTGTGGTATTTTTGATGGGTTTGTGGTCTATGTGATTTAAATAGATGCAGGGTATTGTTTGAACTCTATTTATTTGACCTTTTTTGGGATAAATCACTAAGTCAAGGGGATGAGGAGCTGCTGGATTTTTTTTGGCAAAGATTTATTCAAAGGTTTGAAGAATAGAAGGATCATGGGTTTTTTTGTTGGATTTGATTTAGATCTTGTCAATATATTTTTCCTCGTTTTCCTTTTAGACAATAGTCTTCTTTCTTTTTATAAAAGGGGAGGAGAATGGCGCCTATTAGGTTGGAGATATCCGGAGTTTTTGAGTTATAATTCTTTCTTTAAGTTTGTAACTATGGAAATCGGCCGTTACATGGCTGTGAACTTCTTTCAAATTTCCAGCTTAAGAGTTTAATAAGGTGGCTAGTTTTCATACCAAGTTTGTTGTGCAGAATCTGTTCTTCTTTTTTACTCATTTTACTTCTCAATATTTGCTTATCTCCTCTTGCAAATTAATGGTTCAGATGGATGGTTGTTGTTTTCTATTTACAATTTAAAGTAACAATGGCCAGTAATTGATTAATTTAGAGTGACACGGTGTTGTTAATTACAATCAAATCCCGTAATTGTTTGATTGGACGCTTAACATTTTGTCTAGTAATTATATAGCTTGTTTAGCAGGGCCAGATTTTCAGTTATATTAAAGGGTAAAACAATCTTCTTGAATAGATACCATTATGTTGTTTATAGATTGAATTGGGTCTTTCTTATTCTTAATGCTACCAATTATATTTTAATTTTAGGCGGCGTGTCAAAATTAGTTATTGTAAGGGGATTAATCAAAGCGCGTTTGTTCTTGCTTATTCTCGTTACTACGGAGAGACTAGAGTTGTCTTAAAGCATTTTTTTGGTAACATAACCAATTTATTGGATTTATGTCTAATGGACGTCAATTTGATTCAGTGATTCAACACCGAAGAACTGGTACAAAGATTGACCTTGGTGCGAAATAATTCTCCATGAAATTTTTCCCAATTTTTAATTACTATTCTTGCTAGAATTCCAATCAATTTTTTCCCAATCTACCCATTCTTAATTCATTTTATTTTAGGTTTTAAAATAATATTTTTATTCTAGTCTCTGTGGATTCGACCTTAACTCACCATTTTCTTCAAGTTCTTTATTTGGTAGTGAGATTATTAATTTTTGGCTGATTCGAACACCGCTAAATTTTGCCAGCCGTTGCCGGGGAACTAAGAGTTAATTAACTTTACTTGTTTTTTTTATGACCATGCATCAGATAGTACAGGCAGATCTCCAATGCGATTCTTGAAATCGAGAAAGATCTGCTTAGACGATTTGAGAGGAAAAGAGGGCACAGCAGAAAGAACATTGTCTACGCTGACAGTAACTCTAGAGCAAACAATTGATCCTGAAGTATTCCTACAATACTTCGACACTCCAGGAAGGGAGACTGTTGTATTCTTTGACTTTCTGAAAGTTCAGGTGAGTTTGACAGAAGGGAGTGGTTGATCTGAGAACAATTAGGGAGGGCACACCTCCCATTAATCAATCTCTTTGCATCAATTACCAGCCTTGAGGCTCTTTGCATCACATACCCAGCCTTGGAGGCTGCATTTGAGCTTAAATCAGGTTTGATCCAATTATTGCCCACTTTTAGAGGTTTGTTGGATGAAGATCCTCACAAACATTTAAAGGAATTTCATGTTGTATGCTCTACCATGAAACCCCATGGAATTCCTGAGGAACAAATAAAATTAAGAGCTTTTCCTTTCTCTTTAGCCGATTCTGCCAAAGAGTGGTTATTTTATTTGCCATTCGGATCGATTACGTCATGGACAGAAATGGTAAGAACTTTCTTAGATAAATTCTTTCCTGCTTCAAGGACTGTCAGCATTAGAAGAGATATTTGTGGGAGTGGACAAAAGAATAATGACACTCTACATGAGTATTGGGAGAGATTTAAGAAAATGTGCGCAAGCTGTCCGCAACATGGGTTTTCTGATCAAGCCTTAATACAATATTTTTATGAAGGTTTATTACCTATGGAGAGGCAAATGATAGATGGATGCAGCAGTGGTGGAGCAATCGAAATAAAACTCCCAAGCCACAAGGGAATTGATCCTTCACGATGGCTGCAAATTCTCAAACACATTCGGGTTCAGCCATTGAACCCTAGAGAAATATTAGTGAGGGTAAGTCGTTTCTTCTTCTTTTGAAAAATTAAAATTAATGATTTAACATTTTTGGTTCAGAATTTAGTTATTAGGGAAAGGGCAGCAAGCTTAAAGCTGTGCGGATTTGCGCCTATACTGGACATTAGCAGACAATGTTGATTCCAACTTTGCAAGATGAAAGTCAAGAACAAAGCCAATGCAAATGGGGAACATTTTTCGGCTCAACGGGAAGATATATCCTGTAATTTATTCCAACTACCCTAAATAATCCGGGCTAGCGGACCATCCAAATTGAGCTACGGAACAAAGCCATCAATTTTCAGCAAATTTCACGAACAGGCAGCCAGCACCTTGATCATGGATCTTCGTAGGTTCAGGTATGTCTCTTTGAGACATTGGTTAAAATCACTTGCTACTAACACTATGCAATTTATCAGCAAGAGACACGTG